GGAATAGGAAGGGTAGACCAACGTGGTTTAGGTAAATAAACGCACTTAATCAAAGATTAATTAATCATTATCATATTGATTAATCATACGTTGTATAGCTTTAATCATGATTATGACTCATCATTAAATTTGCACACCATTTGTGGTTGGCGCGCTTTTTTCTAATTCTCTAATAAAATCTAGATTATTCTATGTGAAAACAACCTAAAAATCTTCCTAAAATCTTTCATGGAAATCGATTTGAAAAATTAAAAATAGTGTCGGGACCGAGAGTAAAAAGTTTTCTACTCGGCTGCCCGATCAGGGATTCTCTTTTTTTGACGACAAACAATGTTTGGAAGCGTTTTGGAACTTATTTTGATTTCATTTTGAGGAAATATGTTTTGGGGGAAGAATTTGAGAATGAAAGTAATGTTTGCGTATATGTTGGAATGAGACAATATACACTGTAGGAGTCAAATCATGTCTAAAGGTGTTAGAAAAAAGTAATTTATAAGAAAAAAATTGAAAGACGAAGTGATGTTTATCTGTTTTTTAGTGAAGACATATTTTACTGTAGCAGTCAAATCATTTTACTGTAGCAGTCACATCATATTTAAAAGAGAAATAAACTTTTAAAATTATTTTGAGAAAATAATTTGAAAAGTTTAATAAATCCAATTTTGTTTTGGGGAAATAATGAAAACAAAATAGAAATGGTTCCAAACATTGTCTTCGTAATTGATGTACTTAGTTGATCTTCGGCCCCAAGCCCAAATAGGCCTATTTAAAGCTAAAACCATACTCAAGCCTTCCTGAAAAGGCCCATGGGTGATCCCTTTCTTGTATTCTGAAAAGGGTCTTTTGGCAATTACCAATTCTATTTCAAAATATATTAAAAAAAAAACAAAAAACATTAAATATAATAATAGGGTTTAAAAAAATTAAATTTAATAATAGTATTTGATTCACAAAATATTTAGAGTAGAAGAGGGCAAGTGGAATTTGTCCAAATTTATTTTACATACGGGTATACATTTCATTGTGGAGTTAGATGCTACAACTGATTATTTAAATATGGTACAGTCATATATACTACACCATAAGCATGACCAAAGCAGTAAACATGCTAAAAATCGAAACCCCGTCGTGTATTTTTATCCTCCACCCATAAGAACCGATTTTCCTTTCATCAGAGCCTTCAAGAATCATGTTGTCGATAACGGGCCCACATAGCACTCCGTAGCTCGTTCTTGACTCTCTAACACTGTACAAGATTATAGGAGTTTTTATTAACGATGGAAATTCAGATTTGAATGTTATGGAGCGCTCGGAAGCCGATCCAGTTCCGTTGCTTCTCATTGTGAAGTTGTGAATGTTATTCCCTACTTGCACGTACACCGTAAAATCCCCTACACATGAATTGTTTGCATCTCCCATTGTGAAGTTCAAAGTGTATGTGTAGTTCGTGTTGAGGTTTAGGTCTATGCGGACCCCCGGATCACTCCTCGAATCACCGGATAATAGTTCAATAGCTGCTTCGCCTTGAGGGACTTTGTAGTGTTTTGAGTCTATGTATTTCACAGTTCCGGAAATAGCCCATTCTTGGAGTGGAGACTCGAATATATCTTCTTCTTCGTCTAGTAGAATTCCCTCTGACGAGTTCTTGAAAAAACCCGGTCCAACCTCAAAATCTCCATTTGCTAGTGCGTTGCCTGCACAATATTAGACATAAAACATAAATTGTGATCATTATGCACGAACTGTGAATACGAAAAGTTGACGTAGAAAAGTAATTGACTAGTAGAAAAATGACTTTTTACTAAGACCATTATTCGTAGGAAAATGTACAAAATTCGTCGTAAAAAGGCTTTTACTACACATTTGCTACAAATTTGCTCCGTAGCATGTACATGCATGACTAGCCGTAGCAAATATTTTTTGTTGCGGTAAATCCTAGCATTTACTACGACTAAAAATTTGTCCTGTAGTAAAACGTACCTTTTGTTAAGATTTTTTACCCTATCAAAAAATTCATAATAAAAAACCATTTTTCTACTAGTGATGGATGTATCCGGATACGTACGTAAAAGGAGAGAATTTTACCATATCAGAAGATAAAAATTATTTTTTTGCAAATTGTTTTTTATAACAAATTATTTAATCTCTGGTCAAAGGTAGCATATATATAATTGTTGAATGACCACCTCAACAAAAAAATTAAACTGTTAGCTAGTAAAAAAAATATCATTTAATATTATTTTTTTCATTTATAACAACATACCACTGTACCACCCAGGCAATGGATTCATTTTGACATTAAATGCATCCACCATAGGCCAACATGTGACATTGTTACCATCTTTTGAATTTTTAGCTTTCACACTTGCGATTCGAATATCGACAGATTCGTCGACTCCCAATCTACCCAAGAAGAAAGCATGGCTCTCCCACAAATTTGCAGTTAAATTCCTCCGGAGAGAAAACGCCATCGATCTATAGCGGAACGGATTCTCGCAAAGAGTTACATTAACAGTCGTACGATTGTTAGCACAACCCTCGCTTTGTGGGATAAGATTGAAGCTGACAACGTAATTATAGGTTTCATCTGTATTTGCTCTAAGTGTTTGATTGATTGCGCCGTTTTCCCCTAACTGCAAAGCGTGGGCCCCACCGCTCCTTGGAAATAACAAATTTGCCCCCGAAGTGACGTACGAGACTGTACCGTTGAACGACCATCCCGGAATGGAATTCGCTTTGGTGAGGAGAATGTATTGGGAATTCGTTGTTATGTTCGATGGAGGGATTTCGAAATCCGGGTTCTGCAGAAAATCTGTTTGATTTAAAAAAAAAATTATAAATATGTTCATCAAGATGGAATTGTGAATTGAGTCGCGCGCGCACACACACACACACACACACACATATATATATATATATATATATATATATATATATATATATATATATATATATATATATATATATATATATATATATACCTTCCGCATATGATATTGTCATCATGCACGTGAAAAACAATATGAGTGGCTGGATTACATGCTCCATTCTCCTTGTGTTTGTGTTTTTAATGGGGTGGTGTTATGTAGAGATAATTTATAGTTGACTTTGAGAAAGGTAAGATGTTATAATGATTATTCATCTACGGATTCTATATATTATATATATATATTAGTGGTCAAATGATTTTTTTTTGTTTGGTGAACTAGGTTTTCGATATTCTGTCCGAATATTTTGGGGGAGTTAGATGCTACATTTGATTATTTATATTGAGGGGATTTTAATCGTAAATCTGATTAGTAATCATCTAAGCACACATAAACGTGCGTGTGTGCGCTTATGTGTATATCAACGATTTGAAATTCACTCAATATAGAAATCCAAGTGTAGCATCTAATTTCCCAGGCACATCGTGTATAAAAGAAAGAGTAAATCCTACTTAAGAAAATATCTAAACAAATATCCATAGACTAATACAACTTAATTATAATTCTTATCTTAGAATTCATCTCACGTTAGAGTTGACTTGTGGTAAGCTTCTCTGCAGGTTCGAATTATTAATCAGGCTTTTTCCTCAATATATATTTGACTATGGCCCATTATTATTCGCTATTCTCCAGTTGAGTTTCATTATAATAAAATCAAATCTCCATGTTCAAACTCGTTTGTTGATAAAATATTCGAAAAAATAGATGCTACACCTGATTATTTATACCAGGACCCAGATCGCGATCAGGCACTGACCTCGAAACCACAAAAAATTAAGTTCACATTGCAACGAATTTATGGTGGTCAAAGTTCTAATTAAACCCTTCTACTGAGAACTCCTATATTGTATCAATCATATCCTATTATTCAATTTATTTTTTAATTCTTTTTTGTCTACAATATGGGTATCATTAAAATAGAATATGAGTATTGTTTATTTGATATATCTTTTTTTTTTTTTCCTATTAGGCCCAAAAGAGATCAAAGAAATCCAAAAAGGATTTGATAGAAAACCCATAAACGCATTATTACGCATACTTAGAAAAATGGCTTCGCCCGGGTTCGAACCGGAGACCTTCAGTGTGTTAGACTGACGTGATAACCAACTACACCACGAAACCTTTTCGACTTTTGGGTTACGATTTTATGATTTAAAATATTTTATAAGCCTAAAAAGATAACAAACAAAAAAAAGAGAAATATATTAAATGATTAATGGCTTCGCCCGGGCTCCAACCGGAGACCTTCAGTGTGTTAGACTGACGTGATAACCAACTACACCACGAAACCTGATTGCTGATTTGTGTGTGTTTAATGTTAATTATAAATTTTATCAATTTATATTTTATATTTTTTGATAGCACAATGTTTCTATTCACTATCAACGTCTCTTTATTGTTTATATATTATTATTTTTCTAATATGATTTAATTTGAAAACATTTGTTTTTTCACAATCAAAGATTTTATTAGACTAAAACACCCAATTCTAGAGGAAGATAAGAGCCTTCCATAAAGTCATAATTCACATAAGAATTATATCATAAAGATTGGACATTTTAGAAAATGGAAATGATATACGTATGTGATTCCCACATGTAAAGGTAAGAGTTTTTATCAATATGCACGATTAATGCATTTCTTTGTTAAGAAATGATTCCTCAAAGATGGTGCAATAAATTAAAATGGTTAAATTAAAGTGTACTTGGTAAGTACATATTTCATTTTATAACATTTTTGAAGCAAATTACACTCCAAATCGGAGGGGTTAACTCGTGATTTCCAGGGCATGGCGGGGGGCCACGTGGTGCAGTTGGGCGAAAACAACACAATCAACCAAACACTCAAAGCAAATAGTGAAATCTTGGATTATACGTTCTAATCTTCAACCTTATCCCGCAAAGTGAGGATCGTGCTAATAATCGCACGGGACTAAATAAGCTTTAGCCTAGTGGTAGCATGAGCCACTTCCCCATGAGAAGCAACGGAACGGAATCGACTTTCAAGCTCTTTATATATAAAATGCAAAGCTGAAGAACCATCAAAAAAAGAAACTTCTAAAATCTTGCACAGTTTCAACGGACACGGAGGAGTTTTGTCGGAACACGGCATTTAGTTTATTGGATTTGTCATTTGTGCATAACCAACTAACTTGTGTCTACCGCAAACCAAAAGCTTTTCTAGAAACAAAACAAAACAAGTAGAATGGATAACAAGAAAATTCGGAATATAAAAAGAAAGCGGGAAACGAAAGGGAAAGGAAGACTTTCTCTGAATCTTAATTTACATTTATCTTCAATTTTTGGTTCACAAAAGAAGAAGTCACAAAATCAGAGTAGACTTGTGCCTAATCAAACCTCTAATGATATCTTTAAGCGAAAGGTACGAGGTTTGGTCAATGGATGACTTCTCGACCGGGCGAATTTGCCAAAATGGACCATCTCTGGAGTTTTCATCAATTGCATGAAGCCAGGGGTGAGTTGCAAACATAGAGATATTGGTTTGAGCAAATGCCGCCATAGCCTCTGCGAGCTCAGGAATTGATCGAACCGTAGTATGTAGCCTAATCGAAAATGGGAAAAGTGCACGTGTGTCAAAGGAATGCGTGGGAGCAATTGGAGGTGTACTCGTGCCTTGATAGGCTACAACTATCTGGTTAGAAACAATCCCCCCTGAAGGAGAGCAATCGGCCAACGTGCCGGAACCTTCAAAGTACGCAGCTTCAACAGCAGCAACTTCTCTAACACGGGCGAACCACGAAAGAGAGTCAAACGTCGAGAAGAAACGCTCCAAAGTCGACAAATCCTCATCATCATCAGCAACAGCGGTAGGAAAACTGAAGTTTTCGTACCGCTGTGCAAAGCCCTTGTGAAGCTTTTCGTCAGCTTCACAAGGGTACTGAAGACCGGAGGATGCTAGCATCCACCGGTCCTTGTCGGTCATATCGACAGTAGGTGGAAACCTGTGGTGGGCGAACACCACAGGCTCGTTCCGGTTGTCGGCAACCGGAACATGTTTGCCCTTACCAGGGTAGACAGGGTTATTATTACTGTCGTTGATCGTAGAATTGAGATCGCTCAAAAGGGCTAAGATGCCAGGTATATTCGGGATGATGTAGTGATACGGGGAGTTCGACATGAATGCGCTTCTGGCGGTGGGGCCGGGTGGGGAGGGGAGGAGGGGGTAAACCTTGCCGTAGGAAGGGTTTTCCGGCGGCGGCGGAGAAGAGCAGAGGGTTTTGAACAAGTAGAGGAGTGGGGAGGAGATGGTGAGGGAATCTGGCGGGAAAGCGCTGAGGAATCGGGTTAGGGTTTGGTGTTGGTCGGAGTTTAGGGCTTGGACGGCGGCGGCGGCGCGTAGGCATTGGATCCAGAAGAGTATGCCGTAGTAGAGGCGGAGTATGTAGGGGTGGTAGTCGGGGGAGGAGCGGCGGAAGTGGGGGTGGTCAACGAGGAGGTCGTTGGTTTGGTGGATGATGTAGTCCATCATCAAGCTGGAGGGGCGGTAGGTGGATGGCTTCTTCTTTGAGGCAGAAGTGATGATGTGGAGGCCGGCGTAGGGTCGGAGCATGACGTCAGATGCGGCGGCGGTGGAATTCAGGCCGGTGGAGGCTTCTGCCATCGTTGTGGCTGGGCGCGATTGAAAATTCAATCTAAATTGGAAATTAAATAGGTGAAACATACAAATGATTCTCTACCACCATTTCCATCTCTGTTTATCGATTATTCTTCTTCGGAGTTTTTTTTTCAGCCTTGCGCCGCCGTGGGTGTATAATCCCTAGAACTCATGAAAGCACTATAAACTTGCAAAGTATTTTTAATTTTTTTTTTATTTTTTTTGAATTTTTTTTTTTCGTTTTTAAGTTAAGGTGTTTAATTTTCTTTATATATATATATATATATATATATATATATATATATATATATATATATATATATATTATTTATTGGGTTTTTTTTTTTTGGAGAAAATTGAAATTTACAGAATTTATTTCGGAAAATATATCGGATCGGAAATTCCAAAAGAAAAATTAAATAATTCCAATTCCAATCCAAAAACATCGAAAATTTTCCGAAATTGGAATGAAAAAATTTGTTCCAAAATCAGAACTTTTAGTATCGAAACCGGCGGAAATTGCAAATTTTGTTCCAACTTTCACCCCTATATATATTTATATACATAGATTTGGTATTTAAATAGAGAGTCTTTAATTTGGCCTTTGGAATCTAAAAGAACTTTTTTTTTTATTTATGAATATCATAATATTTTTTTCAAAAAAAAAAATATCATAATATTTATTGTTATTAATATTAATATTTTTCAAAACTAAAATATTGCAAAAAATAAAAAATGAAAATATCAAGGCAATATCAACACAAAAAAAAAAAAAAAAAAATCATTTTAATGTATCTCCTACTTTGCAATTTGTAATTAAAGTTGAAAGTACAATAAAAATATCATCGCAATTCTCTTTCTTTATATATATATATATATATATATATATATATATATATATATGACAATAATAAAACAAAAAAATACTCATGATAAGTTGGAAACATATCATATTATAGTCTTGTCATATTTAATAACTACTTGTAGTCTTGTAGTCAAAATCAAAATAAGTCTTATTCGTTTTATTAAAATTAGACAGATGCATGTGTATTGCACATTTCGTGTTAATTGAATCTAATTTGGTATTTTATCTAACATATAATTATTACTATAAGAAATTGTTTTCTGACGGTATTGTTTTGTTACCTATTATGTCATTTAAAGCTCGGTACTAGAAATTTTAGTGACAAGTATACCTAATTCGTTGCTATACTGGCATCAAAGACCTCATAAGTAACGAAGTTATCCTCACTAAACATTTTGTTTATTGTGACAACAGACTCATTCGTCACCAATACTTGAGTTAAGGTAGAAGTTTGACGAATCTTTTTCTTTATACTCATAACATGTCCCAACAAATTTACTATAAATCAATGATGACATTAAGTCTCAAAAGTTTATCGGGAGCAAGCTTAATTACTTTTATTGATAAAATAAGAATCAAATGTTTTTCTAAACAATTAAATATTTTTTTCATAAAATTAATATTAAGTAAAATAACAATTTTAGTGCGAAAACATACGTAGATTTGGGGCCAAAAAGTCTGAATACTTAACGGATTTATTAAATTTGATTGTATTAAATAAAAAATATTAAAAATGACAATTATAACTATCAATTAAGCAAGGAAAAGTTCTTAGGATTATCAGAACCAAACTTAGAGGGTGTTTGGCTAAGCTTATAAGATGTTAAAAGGAGCTTATAAGATGTTTTAGAGTTTATAAGCTCTTCCAAAGTGTTTGGTAAATTTTTAGAAAAAAAATCTTAATTTTTTTAAAAATAAGTTGTTAGAGAGCAAATAAGATATTTTAAAATAAGTACATCTACCCCACCTTTTTATTTAAGATCTTATAATGAGTAAAAATAGGAAATAAGCTCATTATCCAAACACTCTAAAAATTAATCCTAAAAATAAGATGTAACAGCTTATCAGCTCTTAAAACATCTTATCAAACGTAAAAGTTTATCAGCTATTTAAAATAAGCTTAGCCAAACGGGCCCTTACTTTTATTAATAAGATACTCGTACACATACTAGAAAGTTTATTAAATAAACTTAAAAAAAAAAAGGCCTTTAATATGACCTTATAAAACAAACTCAAAGCTTTTAAATAACTTTTTGTTCCTACATAAACACTTTTTAATTATAAAGGATACAATTAGTACATATAACAAAGAAAAACCTTAATTCTACCTTGCAATTCTAAAATCACAAATAATATGGGAGTTAGATGTTACACCTGATTATTTACACCGAATGAAATTAATTATACCGTATATTTGATTAAATAACTACCCACTAATTACACACACATGAGTATCTGTAATTATATGCAGATTTACTATTTAAATCTACCCAATGTAAATAATCAGATGCAGTATCTAACTTTTCAAATAACATAGAACACAAAATTTACTGCTAGATAAGAAAAATATATAAACAACTAGCCATGTACCACTTAATTAAATTCCTATCTTATAACTTATCCCATGTTAGAGTTGACTTATGGCAAGCTTCTCTGCAGTTTCCAATTATTAATTAGAGTTTTCGTCAATATTCAAAACATATGTTTGTACACAATCCATAGTTGAATTATATGTAAACTGCACGTAACTTGTACAGTTGTACTATGTGCATGTACAGATGTACTTTGACCAAGATCCCATAAACCAATGTTCATCTTCCTCAAAGTCAACTATAATTATATCTATTTATATATACATAATACATAATACCACCCCAAATTAAAAAAACACACACACACAATGGAGCATGTTTTACACCCACTCTTATTGTTCTTCATCATGTATTGCATGGTGACATTATCATATGCCCAGGGTATGTACATTTTAATTCACATATATATCTAATTTCGAATGCATAATAAAAATCAATTTTCGACAGATTTTCTGCAGAACCCGGATTTCGAAATCTCACCATCCAACATAACGACAAATTCAACCACATCCCAATTCATTCTCCTCACCAAAGCGAATTCCATTCCGGGATGGTCGTTCAACGGTACGGTCTCGTACGTCACTTCAGGGGCAAACTTGTCATTTCCATGGAACGGCGGGGCCCACGCCGTGCAGTTGGGTGAAAACGGCACAATCAAACAAACACTCATAGCAAAAGGTGAAGTCTTGGATTACATGCTCAGCTTCAATCTTATCCCACAAAGCGAAGATTGCGCTAATAATCGCACGGCTGTTAATGTATCGATCAATGGGAAATCAACGTATTACGATAAATCAAAGGTGTTTTCTCTCGAGAGGAATTTGACCAGAAACTTGTGGGAAAGCCATGCTCTGTATTTGGGGAGATTGGGAGACGAATCCATCGATATTACGATCGCAAGTGTGAAAACAAATCATTCGCAAAGTAATAACGTCACGTGTTGGCCTCTAGTGGACGCATTTACCGTAAAAAATAATTGGTTGCCAAGATGGTACGATGGTAAGTTTTTCTATATGCTAATCTTTCACTAATAAAATTTTGTTTTCGTTTTTTCGTTTTTCGTTTTTCGAAGAATTAAGTTTATTAGTTAATTTCCCTTAATATATTGTGCAGGCAACGGAATAGCAAACGAAGGTTTCGAGATCGGACCGGGATTCTTGAAGAACTCGTCGGAGGGAATTATACTAGACGAAGAACAAGATAGATTCAACTCTCCACTTCAAGAATGGTCCATACTTGGAAAAATAAAATACATAGACTCGAAAAACTACAAAGTCCCACGAGGCAAAGCAGCAATCGAGCTATTAACCGGCGATCCATCCGGGGTCCGCATGGACCTAATACTCGAAACGACATATACGTACACTTTGACCTTCACAACGGGAGATGCCAACGATTCATGTGCAGGGGATCTTACGGTGCACGTGCAACTAGGGAATTATAACGTGCACAACTTCACGATGAGAAGCAACGGAACTGGATCGGCTTTGAAGCGCTCCATAACATTCAAATCCGATGAACGGACGGAAACTCCTATAGCGTTGTACAGTTTCAACACGACAAGAACGAGTTCCGGGGTGATGTGTGGGCCCGTTATCGACAACGTAATTCTTCAAGTTTCCGATAGAGGGAAGTCGGGTTCTTATCGAGAGAGGATGAAATTTTACGACGGGGTTTTGATTTTAAGTCTTTTTACTGCTTTGGTGATGCTTATGGTATAGTAGTATATAGAAAATATAATATTTATTTCATTCGGATCGGCGTATAGATAAATTATTTCGTTATTATTCCGTTTAACGTGTGTATTCAAGATAGATTACTGAAATATTATGGTACGATCGTTTTGATGGTTCGTCTACATGGATACCTAGACTTTGAATTGAATCACTTATATGCTGTGCAAGAATTGATAAATTGAATTTTTGTGTGTTGAAAGAACTACTAAGCACACAAATTTTAATTATATTTATAAAAAATCAAAACTCGCAAGTTCATGAACAACTAAGAATGAGTTCGAGCTCGACTCGTCAGAAAGCTCGAACTCGAAAAAATTTCAAATTTGAATTCGAGTTTTTGTCGAGACGGCTCAGCTAATTTACAGGCTACAACCGTTATGCACTTTGACTTTGTTGTAAGCTTCTTTGCTGTTTCCAATTAGTAATTAAACTTCCTAAATATTTGACTTTTCCAATCCCATGATTATTATTCCATATTTTCCGGCTGAGTTCCCATTATATTTATAATGAAATCAAATCTCCATGTCAGTCCAACAATCATAAAATACATTCAAAAAACTAATTAAGAGAAAAGAAAACCAAAACCAAGTAGAAAAGCATATTAAGAGAAAAGAAAACCAAAACCAAGTAGAAAAGCATTTGACCATTCACAATATATAAATAAAAAACCAATTGTTGAATTAATGACCATGATAATTCTCTACTAGCATTATTATATATAAACTGCATGGATCTTATCATCCTTATGTACAGTTGTATTGTGTACATCTACTTTGACCAAGATTTAGTTTTTTTCCTTTTTGTCTTAAGCGGTCAAACATATATATAAATATATATATATAAATATATATATATAAATATATATATATATATATATATATACATATTTATCTGGGTAAACTTACATTCTCAGTATAATAATTTACAAACCATACTAGACAACTAACCATGTGTGACAAATTCGACCTAGCAAGGAAATTCAAATTTTGGTCAATTAACAATAACTCTTTTGCATTCTTATATAGCAATTAATATTCATCTTCCTCAAATCCTCAAAGTCAACTATAATTATCTCTACATAGCACCACCACCCCCAAAATAAACACACAATGAAGCATGTATTACACCCACTCTTATTGGTCTTCATGTGCATGATGACAATATCATATGCAGAAGGTATACATATATATATATTTCAATTACATGCATTTTCTATCTTGATCAACATATAGATTATAAAATTTCTAACAAAAGAAAGTACTAATAATAAATAAATAAATAATTTCCAACAGATTTTTTGCAGAACCCGGATTTCGAAATCCCTCCGTCCAATACAACGACAAATTCGTCAACCTCCCACACTACTAGAAAAAGTACCTATCGTGACGCCTCAATGTGTCACTACAGCCGCCTATCGTGACGCTTAGTCTATTGCGACGATAGTTAAAAGCGTCACGTAGGTGGCCGTCGTAATAAGTTTTTGTGGCGATTGGAGGCATCACGAAAAGACTGTTAGTATGACGCTTTTGTCGTCACAAATATGGATGTATCGTGACGATTACATGCGTCACTTTATTAATCCTCAACTACCATAACAACCTACTTATATGACGACGAAGAGCGTCTTTAAATGTTGGTATCGTGATGGTTTTAGCGTCTCTAAATGTAGAAATATTGACGCTATAGGCCGTCTTTAAATATATATATTGTGACGCTTTTTGTTGTCTTAATACATTCGATTGTGTGACGACTTCTGTGCCCCATAAAGTGGTTTTTTGTGACGATTTATTCGTCTTGACAGAGACTTTCTAGGATGCTTTTGTGTCTCATGAATATATCTATAATGACGCTTTGTGCCTCATGAATAACCCTATAGTGACTGTTCAACTTGTCTCAATAGGTATTTGTAATATCTTACTGATTGCATTTTTTAATGTTCCCTACTTACATATAATTTAATCATGTATATACATAATACATAAGAAACCGTATATACATAATACATAAGAAACTGTGTTTGAACTCAAATACAAAAAACCATATTCAATCTCCATCAACAAACAGAATAAATCCTTAGCCTACAATCAAACAAAAAATTAAGAAAATCTAAAATCATTCATTTTGTAATGTCTGAATAACAAGTAATCCAACACCAAACAAAAAATTAAGAAAATCTAATCTCCAAAAATATCCAAAAATACGACGTCTTCAAAATTCTTTATGCATCCATAATTACCTATTAAAATGATCAGAAATACCAATTAAGGTGAAATCAAAACACTCTTAAAATATAATATTATTGATAAGATCATATAAACGAGATTATTACCAAATATTGTGGCCAAGCAACCGTCATTCCAGTAACCTCGCCAATAGTTTTAAAATGGTAAACAGGGCGAAGCAACTCCTCTTCTGGTTCAACTCCTACATTAATGTGAACCTCACACCAATTTTGTCCTAAACGCATTTGTCCAACTTCTTTTAATGGATCTAAGCTCCGAATATAACCAACAGCCACAGTTTTGGATGATTCAACCAAACTTCTCATAGATACTTTTGCTCCGACCTGCAATTAATATTTATCGAGTTTTACTTGACTTTTCAACTACATACAAAGTTATAAGAAAACAATCAAAATAAAAATTAA